GAAGAGCCATTACATTATGACCACCCTGCTAATAACATGTAGGACCTCCTTCAGCCCTCAAAACTGCTAGCACCCACCGTGGAATTGATTCCACAAGGTGCTGATAGGTAGTCTGAGGCATCTGGTACTAAGCGCTCTCCAACTGGTCCTGCAATTCCCTCACATTGCGAGGAGGTAGCGTGGCAGCACGAATTTGGTTTTCCAAGTAGGACCACAAATGCTCTATTGGATTAAGGTCAGGTGAATTTGGGGTCCAAGACATGACTTGAAAGTCACTGGAATGTTCCTCGAACCAATCCGTGACGATTCGACCCTTTTGACATGGTGCATTATTCTGTTGGTAAAAACCATCCCCCGCAGGAAAAACTGTTGCCATGAATGGGTGAACCTGGTCTACAACTATGTTCAAGTAGCTTACAGACGTCAGGGATTGTTCTATGAGGATTATGGGTCCTAATGTACCTCATGAAAACATTGTTCCTGGGCGAGAAACCATGAAAACCTGGGCGAGCCCATTGTTATAGATGGAGGGTGGTCATAATGTAATGCTTCTTCGGTGTATATGGTTGCATACGCTGCCTCCCGCCAACCGCCATTTTATTCCTTCCTTCTAACTCGGAACATGTTAGGAGATTTAATCAGCGCGGATGATGCAAACGTATTATCAAAGAAATGTCTTAATTAATAGTACAGTGCAGTGTATAAATAGTGCAAAAATGCAGAACAAACCAACAATAAATAAAAAGAGAAAACTTTTCATCTTCTCCTCAACCCCAGTAGTGGTTAGGAGGAGTGGAAGGTGAAAACCAGCTGCAAATACTTCCAGTACTGTGCCCTTAAATGGTTCTTTTTCCTTTAGGCACAGGGTTAGCATTACGCCTAAGGGGACTGGTTTGCATTATGTCTATCGAAGCTGACCTTCTTCCCCTATGTGTATTCTTTGGTTCAATAATTATACGTGAGCCTGAAGTTGAAGAAAGTGGTGACGAATAAAAATAAAAGGCATGCAGCATTTTTCATCATATTTCTTTTAGTTTATTATCAAGCGAGGACGCAAGAAACATTTTTGTTTTAAATATACACCATTGATAATGTAATGTATGATGGTAGTTAGGAATAAATAATTAAATCGAGTAAATAAATAAAAATCAGTAAGCTTTTACATTTGTAGACGTATTTATCATCGCAGATAATTTTATGTGTAGTGAAATGAAAAATTAAATAGAGTAAAAAAATAAAATTCAGTATTTTTTTACATTTTAAGTCGCACTTATCGCGCATAATTTTATATTTTGCGGTACTAAAAAGTTTTGTTTTTCTGTAAAATTTGTTTTTATGCGATCGAAAAAATTATAGCCGTTTTCAAAGCCGTTTTACTTCTTAGAGGTCACGTTTTACTATTTTAAAACCGTGCTAACAACTGCTAGCACTTATAGGGAATTCCAACCATATCATCAATTGCTCAATCCTCCTAAATAAATATAAATGCATGAAAACTACACTTTATACTTCAAATAACGGTAACAAAATAAGGTTACGGTGTATAACTGCAACTAATTTTATTTCAATATCGAATATTTTCATTGCTACTAATACTTGCAATATTATTTAGGTTTACTTTTAAATATATCTATCATTAAAGGAAAATTTATATTTGCCTTTTATGTGCATTCATCATTGATTTTCTTTTTGTGCAATTAAAACCCAACTATAAGAAAAAAACTATATAAAATTAAATTGCGCTTCTGCTCATTTAAATCATGTATGTAAATAAAATTTCTTTTATTGTACTAGAAAAATACCTCCAGGAAAACTCAAAAGATATCAGAATAAAATACTCCAAAAATCAATACAAGGAAGTTGATTTATCCGAAATAAGAACAAACATCGCGATCTTAACATTGTTTTTTAAGACTATCATACTGCAAAACAAATATCAAATTTTCTTAAAAGTCATAAATTTTCGTTTTTGAAAACCTGTTGCAAAACACAAACCTCAGGCCAATTGCTACTTATTTTTGTAACGACGCATCTATATTTAGAATACTGAATACTTAATTTTCGTTTTACTCCAATTTACATTCCAGATACCAGAAAGTACCACTTTAAAATTAAAACTTCTAGATGGACGGGAAAAGAACCATAAACGGCCTTAGCCCTAAATCCTGAAAGCTACAGACCTATTAGTTTGCTGACCGTATTTTCAAAAATTTTTGAGAAGATAATCCTCAACAGACTAAAGCCCCATCTCAGTTTTATCCCGGATGAACAATTCGGTTTTCGAGAACACTTATCCACCACTAAACAACTAGTGAGAATTATTGAGAATATTAACCAAGGATTCTTCAAAAAAGAAACAACAGCGCTCCTGATGTTGGATGTGGCCAAAGCTTTTGACCGAGTCTGGCATCAGGGCCTCGTATACAAGCTCATAAATTTCAATATCCCCAAAGATCTAATACTACTAATTAATAATTATCTGACAAACAGAACTTTTCATATTAAGATCAATACAGCATTTTCTTCCGCTAGAAACATTAAAGCAGGAGTTCCGCAAGGTTCAATTCTCGGCCCTGTGCTCTACCTAATTTATTCAGCAGACTTTCCAAATTTTAATAATATGAGAAACATCACCTCAGCCTTCTACGCAGATGATACAGCACTTATGAGCAGATCAATAAATCCCAAGAAGTCTGTTACTAATCTCAGTAATATCATACCTCATATCGAAGCCTGGTGCACAAAATGGAAGGTAGCCATCAACACCACTAAATCTTCACTACTAATTATTAGGAAATCAAGTAAAAAGAAAGTCATTTATCCAAATATTACTCTTTTCAATGATGAAATACCACTAGTTCGAAAGGCCACCTACCTAGGCGTCACTCTTACTAGTTCTTTAAACTGGAATACCCATATTGAAAATATTATTAGCAAAGCGCAAGGAGCCTATAGATCTCTGAAACCAATATTAAACTATAATTCAAAACTATCTCTCAAAACAAAACGAACCCTATACCTCCAATGTATTCGACCGATCATCAGCTACGCAGCCCCTGCATGGAGCACAACCACTGTTAGTCAAAAAAAGAAACTGGAGATCACTCAAAATAAATTCCTCAGATATATCACAGGAGCCCCCAGATCCATGAGAATGAAAGATCTAAGACGAGAGTTAAAAATCAACAAAATAGATGAGCACATAGCTGAACTATGTGCAAGTTTCTTCAGAGATGCACTCTCTTGTCATACGTGCAATTACTTCAAAAATTTTGATTTTGAGCTCATCAAAGACAACATAAAATATAGCCCGGCAACCGCCTTTTTCCTATCCGACGGAGTTTTGTCCCGTAAATTTTGTAAATAGCTGTAAATACTTGTAAATAATTTTGCGCATTTATTATGTATTTCCCCTTTTCCCTGGGGCTATGTGGCTACTGTGCACCTGTGAAGCTCGGGGTAATACCTCGAAGGGAGGCGAGGCAGTCTGCCACAAAACCTCTTCTCTCTCTCTCAAACTTGTTTGTTCAATCTCACTACTTCATTTTAATTTTCTCTCAGTAAAAGATACTGAACCCCAACTTTCACCTTTCAGTTGCGCTTCGGCGATTTATTATTTATTTCCACTCAGATGAATTAGTTGGAGCCCCTAGCGGGGCTGATGCTAAGATAACCAACACATATGAGTACGGCCTTAGCCGCTCAGACAAATTTTGACGATGATGATTTTCCTGACAATTTTAAACTGCAGACAAATGTAAATATGCCGCGTTGCAAATATCTTTTTATCTCCTCTTCGGATAGCGAATACATTGCTGCCAACTTTCTACGCTCTTTGCGAAAATTTATTCTAGTGGCAGCTAAATTACTGTTTTAGCGTATGATTTTTTATTTATCTAAACTTATTTTCCACACCTCTGCATATAAATGATTTAAAAGTTCATATGCAACTCCACTTTGCTTTAACTCCCGCGTGGCCAGCCTCTACGTGTAAGCAAAATTACCAAAAATTATGAAAGCTTTGGTTTTTAAATTGCACTATAAAATAATTCACAAAAGATATATTATTAAGAAAAATATATATACAGGAATTCTCAGAAAAAAATAAATTTAAGTGTATCAAATTTTTGATATTCAGTTGTAAAAAAAACTTCTCAATAACCCAATATTAGCTATATCTTCTTCCTGTTAGACATTTGATACCAAACTACGCATAGTAAAATATTTATCTTTTAATATTCTATACTGAGTTTAATAAAATTTTTGTAAGACTATTTCAGTCAAAACCCAAAAATAATTCATGCACTTTTATAGATTGAAGTTTTCTCCAGCTCTGATAAAATTAAAACATTCCTGCTTGCTTTACTGTAAAAATATGAATAACCTCCCTACTACTCTAAATATTGTTTGCATCTAAATCGTTAGAATTACCAACACTAATAAATCTATTATGGCAAATAATTCCATGCATAGAAAATGTTAAGAAAAGTTATGAAACATATATTTTACAAGATCACATTAGAACCTGAGACCAATTTTTTCTTCTTCTATACTGTGAAAACTGGCCAAATCACCACCGTAACCTTGACAGTAACTTCTTGCATCGTCCCATGACAGTCGACTTGTTTCATACGAAGTTTCCTTGAGAAGTGAAAAAACGTAAAAAAGACTTTTTACTTTGTGATAACATAAGAATAAGAATCTCTCAATGATAGAATAATAATAATAATAATGATAACATTAAAAAAAAAACAATTTTTCAACAATGATTCTTAAAAACATCTGCAAAAGAGTGTGCGAGTTCTACAACTTCGAAGAGTTTTGTGTGAAATGCTAAATTTAACAATTTCTTAATTAAAGCAGTGTTATATTATAGCATTATAATTTTTGCCATAAATCCCGGTAAACGCACGAGAATAAATCTTTTTTAGAAAAATAACTCAGAATGAGTTAGACCCATTCCTAACAATTTCGGTCCAGTTTTTGAGTTGAAAGACGGTCTCGGGTCGTGAGGCCTTTGTATTAGATTATTTGGCCGAACTTTTAAGTTCGTAACGTTGTATTGGTTAAACACAGTGTAGGTTACTTAAAATATCATCTGCTCAAACTAATTAGCATATCAGATCAATTGAGTTCTAGAACGTTAAAAGTTCCGACCATAAGATCAAAAATTATTCATAGTTCCTTTATTTTTGTGCTCGTACATTTATGTCCTAATATGAAGCTATGACTTCCTATAAACGTAATGTGGATTGTGAATAGATACGAAATTGATACCAATACGAAGAAAATATTACATAGGCAATGCCTCCTATAACTGAAAGCCTCCACACGGTTTCTTATAGGTAGTCCGATCAGACCACTATGAAGGTAAACCAGTTAACGAAAGAGTCATTTAATACAAAATCTATTAGAAATTTGAAAATGGTAGCAAATATATTTCTAAAACTTTGTCTAATTTATGAATGTGATTGGTTTGTCCTATTTATTTGTCAACCTCTATATATTCAATTCTGAAATATATATGATACATTTCTTTTAATTACTTTTCAAAATAGAAATTGGGTTCATGCGCACAACTGGTTCGCTTTTTAAATAATCTGTGCAGACTACTTATAAAATCCCGTGTGGAGGCTTTCTGATGTAGGACGTGATGATTAAACACACTACTTTTTCCAAAAACTGAAAATTATTTATACCCAATAACATGCTCCAGTTACTGATGATGATTTCCAGTTATGTCCTTGAGGGCAATAAATATTTCGTGGTGCAACTGTTACCGCACTCGTTGTAGACATTAAAGAGGGATTTGCACTGCATAAGATGTGAGCTTGACTGTTACATTCGGTTTGAAATAGATTAATTTCTAGATTTGAACCTGTAAAATTAAATGCTACTGTAACACAGCTTCCTGTGCCTGCAAAAAAGAGAAAATTCCTGTTATAAAAAATCACATGAAAATATTAGTGACATAATGCAAAACTATATAATTCCTCAAAGTAAAAATAAAAAATTGAAGAATTGTTTCTGAATTAAAACCAAATGAATTTTTCTGTATTTATTTACTTAAAAAAATTTTTTTTGAGAATCTCAAGGAGAAATTGAAAAAAAAATTTAGGTGTTAAAAAAATAGTTTTAATGCAATCTGTTTTTATAAATTAATTTAGAGAAATACCTTCTATGAAGGGAATATGATGTTGAAGAACTTCTCCAGTTTCCCAGAGAACGTGACTTCCATTCCAAGTCAAATATGTCCAATACTTAAGACCATCATTTGTCATCACTTTATGCTCATAAAAAGCATTTAGTCCATCATTCATTCTAAAAGAACAAAACTTATAAATTTAATGTGAAATAATTGTATATTTTGGTTGTAAAAAAGGTTTACTCCATTCATACTTTATGTTCTCATATCGAAAATGTTCGATAACAGGCGTTTTCAAATGTTTGGAGATCTGAGCAGAAAGAGATCATTTTAAGCAAAAGAAAAGAAAATTTAAACTTTTCTTCAACTTTCTCCCCCCCCCTCCTAAGCATTTTTTTTTCATGAAATAAACATTGTCGATAATTTTAACATAATATTCGTCGAAAAAATGAATGTTTTGCAAAACAATATTATTACAATTTTAATGATTTTTCGGATTTGCTTGAAATGCATTTGAACAAGAGAAAAATATATAAATGAACAAAGAAGTGTTTAGTAAATTTATAAATAATAAAATACAATTAATTCAATGATTTTGTATAAATTTAATTACATTAGTAGGATATCCATTGTTTCTTTTATCAAATTTTGCAAGAGTTTGTTGATTTGTTTTTTGGATAAATAAACATTCGTTGAATTCTACTCATTTGATTAAAAAGGGTAGTTAAATAGATGTTTTCAGAAACACTAGAATTCCAAGTAATTAGTTTATTTATATTAAAATTAAAATCACTTCCTTTATCGTATAAATCAGGAAGGCAAATATTTTCTTCTCTTATAATACTCAAATCGAAAAAATTAAAATTAATATTATCTTCATGATTACGAAGCAAGTTTCACTAAATCTTATTAATTTTCTTCAATTTTCTCTTTTTTCTTATCCTTTTTGTACTTATTTATTGTGTTATATATATATATATATATATATATATATATAGAGAGAGAGAGA